AGATATATTTGGGAAAAACTTAATTATGGTACATTTCTAAATTACTCTTAGCTCCGTTGATATTAGTTCGACAGGAAAACATTAAATATACAACTTGTAGGAAATTGAATTGAAAACAAAACGGCATAAAACATTTCTACAAAATAACACACAACAGTCATTTTTGACATATGACACAAATTTGAGTTTTTTTTAAATGGCAACGTTCTTGATTACTGCTTTACCAAATAGTGCATTTTAATACGATTTCTATGATATATCACATCGTTAGGATTTTTTCGAAAATATAGTGTCTGCGTACAATTTATACTTTTTCAATTTAGTTGATCTAAGTTAGTTATGGAAAATAGTATAAGACCATTGTTTCCATAGCAACAAATAACTACATCTTTAAATTGTTGACATTCAAGTTTAAATTCAACCTAGAAATCTAAGTTAGTTTTATTGTAAAAATGAATTATTCCAATCCAAAAAAGCGCGACATGATTGAAACCTACATTAGATGTGATAAAAATGCTAGACGAGCCTTTGATTACTATTTTGAGAGGTATTTTGGCCGTCGTGCACAGTCTTTGAAAAATTCTAACAATTATACGGCAATTTCGGCACTTACGGAAGTTTTACGCACCCAAGAAATGAAGATAAAGTAATAAATGAAGCTTTGGAGGTCAATGTCTTGGCCATTGCGAGCCAGAATCCACATATTTTTACCAGAGAGATCGCAGCAGAATCCGGGACAATCCACAAAACACAAATTCCATTAGAATGTATTATCAGGATTCCAAACTTTACACCCAGGGGCAGGAGCGGATCCAGCTTTTGAGTCAGGGGGGGTCAAGTAGTAGAAATTCAGACTTTTGTTGTGTATGAAATTAGAAAAAATAGCGTTAGTCGCTGTAAACCCAGATCAAGGGGGGGTCATGACCCCCATGACCCCCCCCCTGAATCCGCCCTTGCCCAGAGGATGAGGAGCTGCGTGTGAATTCTTGTAGATTGTATCAAATATTTTGGACCGATGACACTCGATTTACAAATTGTGGTACAGGGCCCAATTTTATGGCCACCTCGATCACCGGATCTGTCACCTTTGGATTTTTTTTGTGGAGAGCCGTAAAAACACAGTTTACAAAAACAAATATTCCAATTTAAATGCAAAATGGTAGCCTTTTTGAGAATGTTTTGCAATAAATATTAAAGTTTCTAAATTAAAATTTGATTTATCATTGGTATGATTTGATTTTTATTGTACATACTTTCCTGACTGTGTTTCAATTCCAAATCAAAATCAATTCCTGGGCTTCAGTCATTTATTGTCTATTTATCAATTAAAA